GAAATAGAATGAATGTGTGCTTTCAAGTGTCCAAAAGAGTTAAATTTGTATTCCTGGTATCAGGCCCGTCCTTTAGGGGGGGGCGAACAGGGGCGACCGCCCGGGGCCCCGCGCGTGTGGACCGCGGGCCCAGCACTAGACCCAGCGACCTCGGACACATTATCTGTTGACTGGTTAATCTGACCTGACGGCTGACGCCACCATCGCAACCGTGACCTCTTTTTTTTTATTGTAGAGAAAGGAGGGTGAAAGAAGATTAGAGGTGGGGGAAGGAAGTTATAGTTCGGAAATTGAAGAAGTTTAGGAGGAGGTAAGAGAGGGCGGGCTGACCGCCTAGCTAAGCTAATAGTGTGTCAGGGTTGTGTCATGGGTTAGTTATTGTCTGTCGGCACTAGACATCCTACCATATCCCATACATGAGTGTTTTAAGGGCCTTATTTCATATTCCGCCGACCCTACTGGCGGATGTTGGTCTAGGGAGGTTGTCTTACCATCCAAAGCGACAGTCCCATAGGGGTTGGTGGGGGTGGGTTCACCTGACCGCATAATCTGACACTAGTGTGGGGCCCCGCAGTGGCTGAGTTGCCCCGGGCCCCGCACCCTCCTCGGGACGGCCCTGCAATGATGGTATAAAAAAAAACCCTGGGTAAGTAATCAGTGTGGGTGGTGATGACAACACAACACAACACGACACAAACATTTCTCCTCTCTTATGGTGACGAACAGCACAACACAGTGAATGTAAAGCAACACAAATATCCAAGGAATTAAACTTTTCTTAGTAAGGTGGAGAAGAGATCAATTTCTCTCACTAGAGGAAGACGTACGAGAAGGAGCAGCCAGGCGTGTGTTGGTCAGTGTTGCCACATCGTCTTAAACTATTTGGCGAGAATAACTTTCCTGGTTGATAAGTGATGACGTTAACAGGCAAAGAATTTATTTCCATGAGCTAAACTGGTGATGGATTATTGTGAGAATGTGTGAATGTTATTGTGTTTATAGTATAGGTATGTGTAGGTTTATATTAACTTGATGTGAGTTATGTGTATTTATGAATGTATACTGTATGCCTCTGCTCTATGACTTTTATTAGGATTATGTAGCTGTAATAAATTTCATAGACATTTTATTATGTAGATTTATATTTTTTCCTTCAGGTAGAGGGCTTGTCCCCCACACGGATGCCACACTTTCCATTTTCACTTTGTCTTTTTTTTTGGTTTGTTTTAACCGCATGCTGCTCGTTCGTCTACTGACATAAGGTAAGGTTAGGTTAAGTTAGGTTAGGTTAGGTCAGGTCAGGTCAGGTTGTTGGGTTGGGTTTTGCCAGTTACTTATATTAATTATCCCTTGACAATAACATAGGTCTATAGAAAGATGGATTACCTTCTTATTAAACTTTCGAGCATAATACAACTTATTTTCTAAACTAGTAATAATTTTTATAGAGAATTTGACTCAATCGATCTACTTATCCTACAATCACTTAAGACTCTGAGACAAAACAGATATCTCGACTAAACTACAAGTAAATTAAGACCATCATAGACAGTCTTTAGCTACAAACAGTCACCATCGTAAAGTCAGATTCCTGTAGTGGTGTTGCAACTTGTCATTTTATTCTGAATCTTTTCTAGGTAGTCAAGTTATGAGTCAGGTGCTAGAGTCGTCCATCTATTTCACCCGAGTATTTTATGGTCTGTAAATACATCAACAAGCTTTGTGGGTAGTCAAGTTATGTTAATTTTACGTTAATAAGCTGCTGGTGCCTAGTTTTATGATATATACTGTATATTTCATAACGTGTGATTAAATCGGATTAAATTCCCTTTCAGTATGATGTAGAAACTCACATAAGTCATCATCAAGAGAATTTTATGAACAGGAAAACGTTAATGAGTTTGATGGTTCGCTGTTATTACCTGAAGAAAAATTAAATATAACCGAATATATAATTATGGTATTGTATTATTTATCAACTACTGGTAATTTTTACACTAAAGTCTCCGGATAAAAATATTTTAGCTAAGGAATAGATGCTGTACACTGATGAGATGTAGGTACTAACAACAGGTGGAAGTGAGAGGTTTAGAAATAGATGATTATGTTACAGGTGTAGATAGAAGTTGTTAAACAGTGTAGATATAGCGTAGTGAAGATTATAAGCATCAGTTACAAGAGGAGTAAGTGTAACAGGTACTGCACTCTCGATCTCCTTTGTTTAGCCAACTTCCTCCTCCTTGGGAAATATGTCTTACAGGGATAGGGGAAACAATCATTTTTTCTTCTTTTTATTTCTTTTTATTATTTTTTTTTACAAATAGTTTAAAAGAGTTATAACATTAAAGGTGTAGTGGTTATTTACCTTCTGTAGCCCTACCATACTTTCACCATATCTCACTCTCACACTACCTTACTTTCACCATATCTCACTCTCACACTACTATACTCTTTCACCATACCTCACCCACTCTACCATACTTTCACCATATCTCACTCTCACACTACCATACTTTCACCATATCTCACTCTCACACTACTATAATTTCACCATACCTCACCCACTCTACCATGCTTTCACCATACCTCACCCACTTCACTCACACCATACCTCACCCACTCTACCATGCTTTCACCATATCACCCCTACATGCTTTCACCATACTCACCTCTACCATCTTAACCATACCACCACCACTGCCACCATACACCCACTCACCATGCTTCACCAACCACCCACTCTACCATACTTTCACCATACCTCACCCACTACCATTTTCACCATACCACCCACTACCATTCACCATACCTCACCCACTCTACCATACTTTCACCATACTCACCCACTCTACCATACTTTCACCATACCTCACCCACTCTACCATACTTTCACCACACCACCACTCATGCTTTCACCATACCTCACCCACTCTACTATGTTCACATACCTCACCCACTAACTTTCACCACCTCACCCACTCTACCATACTTTCACCATACCTCACCTTACCATCATGTTTCACCATACCCCACCCACCCACCATGCTTTCACCATACCTCACCCACCTACTATGCTTTCACCATACCTCACCCACTCTACCATGTTTCACCATACCTCACCCACTTACATCACCATTCACCCACTCCATGTTTCACCACCTCACCCACCATTATGCTTCATACCTCACCCACTCGCTACCATACCTCACCCACTCTACCATGCTTTCACCATACCTCACCCACCCACATTTCACCATACCTCACCCACCATCACTTTCACCATACCTCACCCACTCATACTTTCACCACCTCACCCACTTACTATGCTTCACCATACCTCCCACTCTACCACTTTCACCATACCTCACCCACTCTACATGTTTCACCATACCTCACCCACTCTCATGCTCACCATACCTCACCCACTCTATCATACTTTCAAACCCACCCACTCTACCATGCTTTCACATACCTCACCCACTCTATCATACTTTCACCATACCTCACCCACTCTACCATACTTTCACCATACCTCACCCACTCTACTATGCTTTCACCATACCTCACCCACTCTACCATGCCACCATACCTCACCCACCACACACAACACCCACTCACACCAACCACCATATCACCATACCACCACCTACTATGCTTACCATACCCACCCACTCTACCATGCCACCATACCCACCCACTCTATCATGCTTTCACCAACCTCACCACCTACCATGTTCCCATACCTCACCCACCTACCATGTTCACCATACCTCACCCACCTACATACTTCACCATACCTCCCCACCACCATGTTCACCACTCCAACCCACCCACTCTATATGCTTTCACCATACCCACCCACTTACTATGCTTCACCATACCTCACCCACTCTACAGCTTTCACCATACCTCACCCACCACCAATTCACCACCCACTCCAGCACCATACCACCCATTCTGCACCACCCACATTATACCCCCACTCATCACACACCACTCACTCACCATACCACACTAATCACCCACCCAATACCCACCACCATATTTCACCATACCACCCACTTACATGCACATACCTCACCCACTCTATCATGCTTTCACCATACCTCACCTACTCTACCATGCTTTCACCATACCTCACCCACCCTACTAAACATATTACACAACAGACTGGAGTGAAAGCCATGACATCACCATCAAAATACGAAGTTAATAACACAGTAGAAAGTGTCAGATGGTTACCCTAAAAGCGTTTACGTCTTGGCCCTAGTCAAGTCAAGGGTATAATTTGGCCTTAAAAGCCCACTTAAAGGTCCATTTAGGCTTGTGATGATAGATAATTCATAAAGGCTTAGTCAAAGAGAAGACTTATATAAGGATATCTTTGGCCTCTTAAGAACTTCCTTATTACTAATGTTTGGTGTTTTACCGTTTATATATCTTTTTATATGAATTAACTATATATAATCTTTTCGTTAATTAATTCATTGAGGATAGAAAGATCTACTTGTTGTTGAAGACTTTACTGCCTCTTGTTCCAGTGTTGTTACCAGGGTGAGTTTTGTGACGCGGGGAATAATAACGATCATCTCCCTCACCTGCAGGAAGAGTCGCCAGGTACTAATTAGCGTTCATAATGGAATTTACTGATGTTTTTAGAACACTTAAAAGCACCAGAGCCAAGTGTATTAATGTTAATAACCAACACAAACATCCGAGAGTACCAATTCCGAGAAGTTTCTTGCCGTGTGGTAGCTGCCTCTCGATTACCTGATTAACTAAAACTCACCTTTTTATCTACAGCCAGTCATATATTCAGGCCTTGAGGATGGGATTTTGTATTTTTTATTATACATACAAGTACGGGACATATATATATATACTGTATATACATAGATACAAAATATACATACATAATGTTTACGACACATATTAGGGGCTGACAGGTAGTGCTGGGGCCAACAGAACAAACACTTGAGTCAATGACCTGTATGGCTCAGGAGTCAATGACCTGTATGGCTCAGGAGTCAATGACCTGTATGGCTCAGGAGTCAATGACCTGTATGGCTCAGGAGTCATGACCTGTATGGCTCAGGAGTCAATGAACTGTATGGCTCAGGAGTCAATGACCTGTATTCCAGAGCCACTGAATGGCTCAGGAGTCAATGACCTGTATGGCTCAGGAGTCAATGACCAGTATGGCTCAGGAGTCAATGACTCTGTATGGCTCAGGAGTCAATGACCTGTATGGCTCAGGAGTCACGACCTGTATGGCTCAGGAGTCACCACCCAGGCGGCTCAGGAGTCAATGACCTGTATGGCTCCAGGAGTCAATGACCTGTATGGCTCAGAGTCAATGATCTGTATGGCTCAGAGTCAATGATCAGCATGGCTCAGAGTCAATGACCTGTATGGCTCAGGAGTCATGACCAGGCGGCTCAGGAGTCATGACCTGTATGGCTCAGGAGTCAATGACCTGTGGCTCAGGAGTCATGACCTGTATGGCTCAGGAGTCAATGACCCATATGGCTCAGGAGTCAAGATCTGTATGGCCCAGGAGTCAATGACCTGTATGGCTCAGAGTCAATGATCTGTATGGCTCAGGAGTCAATGACCTGTATGGCTCAGGAGTCAATGACCTGTATGGCTCAGGAGTCAATGACCTGTGGCTCAGGAGTCAATGACCTGTATGGCTCAGGAGTCAATGAACTGTATAGCTCAGGAGTCAATGACCTGTATGGCTCAGGAGTCAATGACTGTATGGCTCAGGAGTCAATGACCTTATGGCTCAGGAGTCAATGACCACCTTAACAAGTTAACTGACCTGTATGGCTCAGGAGTCAATGATCTGTATGGCTCAGAGTCAATGAACTGTAAGCTCAGGAGTCAATGAACTGTATAGCTCGAGTCAATGACCTGTATGGCTCAGGAGTCAATGAACTGTATGGCTCAGGAGTCAATGACCTGTATGGCTCAGAGTCAATGACCTGTGGCTCAGGAGTCAATGACCTGTATGGCTCAGGAGTCAATGATCTGTATGGCTCAGGAGTCAGCCAACATGGCTCCAGAGTCAATGATCTGTATGGCTCAGGAGTCAATGACCTGTATGGCTCAAGGAGTCAATGACCTGTATGGCTCAGGAGTCAATGACCTGTATGGCTCAGGAGTCAATGACCTGTATGATCAAAGGTGTGGCCTGTATGGCTCAGGAGTCAATGACCTGTATGGCTCAGGGTCAATGACCTGTATGGCTCAGGAGTCAATGATCTGTATAGCTCAGGAGTCAATGACCTGTATGGCTCAGGAGTCAATGATCTGCATGGCTCAGGAGTCAATGACCTGTATGGCTCAGGAGTCAATGATCTGCATGGCTCAGGAGTCAATGACCTGTATGGCTCAGGAGTCAATGACCTGTATGGCTCAGGAGTCAATGACCTGTATGGCTCAGGAGTCAATGACCTGTATGGCTCAGGAGTCAATGAACTGTATGGCTCAGGAGTCAGCCACCTGTATGGCTCAGGAGTCAATGACCTCATGGCTCAGGGTCAGTGACCTGTATGGCAAGGTCAAGCAATCTGTATAGCTCAGGAGTCAATGACCTGTATGGCCAGGAGTCAATGATCTGCATGGTCAGGAGTCAGCAACCTGTATGGCTCAGGAGTCAATGATCTGCATGGCTCAGGAGTCAATGACCTGTATGGCTCAGGAGTCAATGACCTGTATGGCTCAGGAGTCAATGAACTGTATAGCTCAGGAGTCAATGAACTGTATGGCTCAGGAGTCAATGAACTGTATGGCTCAGGAGTCAATGAACTGTATGGCTCAGTGTCAAGGAATAACCCAGCAAGACCAGCCAACCTACCAACTGGTCTGCTGCCTAACCATTACCTGGGAACACGACCATCTAACTAATTAATTTCCTGATTCTCAATTAACCACTAAGTACATAGAGGTAAATGACGTTCACTAACTGACATACATACATACATACATACATACATACATACATACATACATACATACATACATACATACATACTTACATACATACATACATACATACATACATACATACATACATACTTACATACATACATACATACATACATACATACTACATACATACATACATATATACATACATACATACATACATACATACATACATACATACATCTACATACATCATACATTAATATCAACACATACATCATCACATCATCATCATCATACATCATACATCATACACAACACATCATCATGCATCATGCATCATGCATGCATGCATGCATACATGCTGACATGCATGCATACATCATGTATCACATGCATCATGCATGCATCATCATACATACACATGCATCATGCACATCATCATACATACATACATACATACATACATACATACATACATTAAAGGATTAAGTCTCAAGGTGTAATATACTTCCTTTCAACATAGAAATAACCGCGCATAGATAATAGAAAAATTGCCGAATATAAGACCATAATTATCTCTTCAAAATGACGAAAATCCTCCAAGCCATCACAGACCAGGCCACAATAGTCACTCCTCATGAAGGTATCATTAACCTGCTACATCTCCTCAGTAGTTGTGTTCACCTGAATTCCGTAACCTCATGGAGAGACTCGGGCACACTAGCCATCCTCCTGGGACCTGTGTGACGACTTGAGACACGGTAAATGCGACAGTTGAGGAGACATGAAGGACCTGAGAGGGGTGGAAGGGTTTAGGTGGAGGGTTAAGGTGGAGGGTTGAGGTGGATGGTTGAGGTGAATGGTTGGGGTGGAGGGTTAAGGTGGAGGGTTGGGGTGGAGGGTTGAGTGGAGGGATGAGGTGGAGGGATGAGTGGAGGGTTGGGGTGGAGGGTTGAGGTGGAGGGATGAGGTGGAGGGTTGGGTGGAGGTTAGGAGGAGGTTGGGGTGGAGGTTGAAGTGGAGGTTGGAGGTGGAGGTTAGGTGGAAGGTTGGTGGAGGTTGGGGTGGAGGTTGAGGTGGAGGTTGAGGTGGAGGGCTGAGGTAGGGGTTGAGTGGAGGGTTGAGGTGTGGGGTTGGTGGAGGAGGTTAGGTGGAGGTTGAGGTGGAGGTTGAGGTGGAGGGATGAGGTGGAGGAGTTAGGTGGAGGGAAGGTGGAGGGTTGGGGTGGAGGGTTGAAGTGGAGGGTTGGGGTGGAGGTTAGGTGGAAGGTTGAGGTGGAGGTTAGGGTGGAGGGTTGAGGTGGAGGAGGTTGAGGTGGAGGCTGAGGTGGGGTTGAGGTGGAGGTTAGGTGTGGGGTTGAGGTGGAGGTTGAGGTGGAGGGGTTGAGGTGGAGGGGTTGAGGTGGAGGTTAGGGTGGAGGTTGGGTGGAGGGTTAGGTGGAGGTTAAGGTGGAGGTTGAGGTGGAGGGTTGAGGTGGAGGTTGAGGTGGAGGTTGAGTGGGGTTAAGGTGGAGGTTAGGTGAAGGTTGGTGGAGGTTAAGGTGAAAGGTTGAGGTGGAGGGTTGAGGGAGGTTGAGGGAGGGTTAATGTGAGGTGGGGTGGAGGTTAAGGTGGAGGGTTGGGGGTGGAGGGTTGAGGTGAATGGTTGGGGTGGGAGGCTTGAGGTGGAGGGTTGAGGGGAGGGTTAAGGTGGGGGGTTGAGGGGAGGTTGAGGTGGAGGGTTGAGGTGGAGGGTTAGGGGTGAGGGTTGGGTGAGGGTTAAGGTGGGGAGGTTAAGGTGGAGGGTTGAGGTGGAGGGGTTGAGGTGGAGGGTTGAGGTGGAGGGTTGAGGTGGAAGGGTTTAGGTGGAGGGTTAAGGTGGAGGGTTGAGGTGGATGGTTGAGGTGAATCGTTGGGGTGGAGGGTTAAGGTGGAGGGTTAAGGTGGAGGGTTAAGGTGAAAGGTTGAGGTGGAGGGTTGAGGTGGAGGGTTAAGGTGGAGGGTTGAGGTGGATGGTTGAGGTGGATGGTTGAGGTGGAGGGTTGGGGTGGAGGGTTGAAGTGGAGGTTGAGATGGATGGTTGAGGTGAATGGGTTGAGGTGGGAATGGTTGAGGTGGAGGCTGAGGTGGGAGGGGTTGGGAGGTGGGAGGGCGAAGGTGGAAGGTTGAGGTGAGGGTTAAGGTGGAGGGGTTGAGGTGGAGGGTTGAGGTGGAGGTTAAGGTGGAAGGTTGAGGTGGAGGGGTTGAGGTGGAGGATTGAGGGGAGGGGTTGAGGTGGAGGGGTTGAGGTGGAGGGTTGGGGGGTGGAGGGTTGAGGTGGAGGGGTTGGGGGGTGGGAGGGGTTAAGGTGGAGGGTTGAGGTGGAGGGGTTAAGGTGTAGGGTTGAGGTGTGGAGGTTAAGGTGGAGGCTGGGGGGTGGAGGGGTTGAGGTGAGGTTGGGGTGGAGGGTTGAGGAATGGTTGGGGTGGGAGGGGTTGAGGTGGAGGGTTAAGATGGAGGAAGGGGGGAAGGATGAGGTGGAGGGCTGAGGTGGAGGGTTAAGGTGGGAAGGCTGAGGAGGGTTAAGGTGAAAGGTTGAGGTGGGAGGGGTTGGAGGTGGAGGGCTGAGGAGGGTTAAGGTGGAAGGTTGGAGGTGGGAGGGGTTGAGGTGGAGGTTAAGGTGAAAGGTAGAGGTGGAGGGTTGAGGTGGAGGGTTGGAGGTGGAGGTTGAGGTGGAGGGGTTAAGGTGGAAGGTTGAGGTGGGAGGGTTAAGGTGAAAGGCTGAGGTGGAGGCTGAGGTGGAGGGTTGAGGGGGAAGGTTGAGGTGGGAGGGTTAAGGTGGAAGGTTGGAGGGAGGGTTGGAGGTGGGAGGGTTAAGGTGGAGGGTTGAGGTGGAGGGTTGAGGTGAGGGTTAAGGGAGGGGTTAAGGTGAGGTTAAGGTGGAGGGGTTAAGGTGAAAGGTTGGAGGGAGGGTTGAGGTGGAGGGTTGAAGTGGAGGTTAAGGTGGGAAGGTTGAGGGAAGGTTGAGGTGGAGGGTTAAGGTGGAAGGTTGAGGTGGAGGGTTAAGGTGGAGGGTTAAGGTGGAGGGTTAAGGTGAAAGGTTGAGGTGGAGGGTTGAGGTGGAGGGTTGAGGTGGAGGGTTAAGGTGGAGGGTTAAGGTGGAGGGTTAAGGTGGATGGTTAGGGTGTAGGGTTAGGGTGGAGGGCCTAGGTGGTGGGTTAAGGTGGAAGGGTCAGTTAATATTAAAAAAACTACACAGAATGAAAAAAAGAATCATATCTAATTGAAGTGACAAAACAACCAGACAGAAAATTCCCAACGAAGTAAAAATGTTAGTGAAGAAAGTAATTCCCCTTCTGATGGCACAGTTGAAAGATATGTGGGTAATGGAAGACTATTGGGGCGAGCCAGAAGGAAATTGGATGTTGAATACAGAGTGAACTGGACAATAAAGTCAGAGTTATGAGAAAGAAAAGTATTTGGTGACTTTGGGGAAACAATTCCTTGTATGTGTGAATCACGAGGCTGGTGGCTGAAGAAACTGTGAAACATACACACACACACACACACACACACACACACACACACACACACTGCAGTAGTTATCAGCTTTTATATGTAATTAGAATTGTTTGTATCGATTTCACCTACGATTTATTTATTGTATTTACTGAACAATACTGTAACGTCACCCATTTATCTGTAATTTGTAGCACCAGTTAATAAAATTGTTGTCAAATAACCAGTTGCAATATCTGCCAAAGCCACAAAACACTCAAGTAATTTGTGGTTATTTCCCTATCACTGATCGTCGATAATTAGAGATGACCACTTTTGCGTGTGTGTGTGTGTGTGTGTGTGTGTGTGTGTGTGTGTGTGTGTGTGTGTGTGTGTGTGTGTGTGTGTGTGTGGGTGTGTGTGTGTGTGTATGTGTGTGTGTGTGTTATTGATGTTATTGAAGGTTCGACTATAAATGTTAAGCTGGTAACTTACACTGTTGTGTGAATTACTGGGGGGATGTTTGGCCGCATTTGCCTAGAAGGGAATACCAAATAACAGAAAATTTCGCGTTATTCCTTCATACGCTACAAACGGTCCCGCTGCTGCGTATTGACCTTACAGTTTGGGGTTGGGTAAACTGTAGTGCTCGTACATAGACCAAAGGACAAAGAACCGTGTGTTTACTGAGAGATTTCATTGGTTTCATTTTAAAATTTAGTCAATTTAATTTTCTCGCCACTCTATACAACAAAGAGCTATACTTTAACTTATTTATTATCAGAGGAAAGCTTTTAATGAATCTTTGTAATCGTTTCTAGGACATGATTTTAGGAACATTTTCCAGACACGACCAGCTGCCACACTCGGGGTATTTTAGAAGCAAACTCAATTATCCGTCGACCATTTATATATGAAAATCTATTCAACTATATTCATTATTCGCCATTGGGAACAGGTTCTTTTAACCAGGTGCCACTTAATGCCCAAACACTAATGGCACAGGAAAATAACTAGACCGTCAAACCAAGACAGTCACAGAACTGAGACTTACTTTACAGTGTGACCCTGAGTTGGCTCTTAATGAAGACATACAGTCCAGTCACCCATACCAACTATCTTTATAAAACTGTGGTGAGAAAATGTGACGCAACGGACGAAAGATTTTGACAACCCTACCGATAAAACAGAAGTTGCAGTGTTCATTCTGAAATTCATCGACCCACCGAGAGAAGTTAGTTTTATTAATGACTGGACAGTATATGGACTTATATTTAAGATTTTAAAGTTATGTAGTTTTCATTAAGTCTATACAGAACATAAATGACTTAAAATCAAGGTCAAAACAACATACGTCATAAATATTGCAATGTATAAGTAAGTGAACCATTTGAGCCCCTCTACTAGTACTACGAAGATGAATACTTGGATATTGTTGTACCACATTCTACAGCCATTAAGGGAACAAATTAGTAAT